CTGTGCAGGGTTGAGTTACATTATCAGCTTTGTGTAGGGTTTGTGAGTATTATCAGCTCTGTGTAGGGTTGAGTTACATTATCAGCTCTATATAGGGTTGAGCAACATTATCAGCTCTATGTAGGGTTGAGCAACATTATCAGCTCTGTGCAGGGTTGAGTTACATTATCAGCTCTGTGCAGGGTTGAGTTACATTATCAGCTTTGTGTGGGGTTGAGTTACCTTATCAGCTCTGTGCAGGGTTGAGTTACATTATCAGCTCTGTGTAGGGTTTATGAGTATTATCAGCTCTGCGTAGGGTTGAGAAGTATTATCAGCTCTGTGTAGGGTTGAGTTACCTTATGAGCTCTATGCAGGGTTGAGCAACATTATCAGCTCTGTGCAGGGTTAAGCAACAATATCAGCTCTGTGCAGGGTTGAGTTGCATTATCAGCTCTGTGTAGGTTGAGGAGTATTATCAGCTCTGTGTAGGGTTGACTTACATTATCAGGGTTGAGGGACATGAATATGTTGTGATGTACGAGGAACCTCTAACCCGAAAGCCCTCAAGGAAGACAAAATCCAGGCTGCGGGGTTTGGACACGCTTCCCGCCGGGCAGAGAGCAGGGAGCAGGAAGAGCAGGCTGTCCCGGAAGAGAGACCAGGACAGCGCAGCTCCTGATGCAAGCGGCAGGGATCTTCAGTCGGCTGCTGTCCTGTCATGGCTGCAGACTCATTAACGGTGCTGAAAGTGCTGTGGTTAGCTCCTCCCAGGCCAGCGAGATTAGCCTGTTCGATTTGCTCATCACACGGGACCCTGTTCTGTTTGTTGGTCACAGGCCGTTGTAATTGTATTTAAGATGATCTTTTCACTGCTCGTTAAAGCTGATTGATCGGACGTGTTAATTGTGCGCATTGATTACCTCCGGGGGTGACTATTTGGGTCAGCACGTTTCCCTACAAAGGTGCTGCATCCTGATTCGCTGTGTCTCTTTCACTGGCAATAAACTCTCCAGCGCCTCCAGGCTATTCTGACACTCCTCATAGCGCGGGGGGTCACCCGAAGCTTTCATCTCTCTTATTTCTGCGAGAACGTGAGAAAAATGGGAGCACTTTGGAATTAAAGAGCTGCCCTTCTGAACCTGCGCCTGCGGTTTACCGCAGTATTTTTGCAAGTCTCCTCGGTGCCGTGCCGGCTGTATACTTGCTCATCACCCCTGTCAAGTCTGGCGACTGTGAGTCTGCCGATTGGCCTTGAAGGATAGTGGCTGAACCAGTCGCTGGTGGGCTTTCACTGGCAGAGAGTGAAGAGCCTCTGTTTCCAGGGTCCTGCACTTGGCGTGGCTGCCTCGCCCTGCAGGGGGCGCCGTGGCCCTTGTCTGCTGTGACTGGTGCTGATGTAGAATGCCTGTGCTCTGTGTGATTTGCATGCAACAGTAGCTGGTGGAGAGGGGGGGGTGGTGGTGCCAGGGGGTCTTTGGAGAGCTGCCATAAATAAATAAACAGTGAGTAAAGGCATGCACGGTGAAAAAGGTAATAAACCGAGCAGCAGTATTAGCTTGCTGATTGATCAGGGATCTGGGGACAAGCAGCGAGGCAGGTGCAGGGCTGTAACTGGTCTAATTGCACCCCAGCCCCACACACAGACTCAGCGCCCCTTCATTCTTCCCCTTTCTCATTTCCTAAACGTTTGATTTTAATTAAAGCCGCAATAGCTGCGCGGTGACAGAAAGCTTAATTAAAGCCGCGCGGCACTCGCGCTCCCGTTTCGGAAGGAGCTCTCCTCCTCTCTCCGCGGCCCGCGCCAGGCGCCCACTGGCAACACCTGCCTGGACAGGCTTGGGGCACGGACGCCAGTCTCCAGGCGTTGGCCTTCCACATCGGAAATTCGGGGCTCCCCTTGATCCTTCGGTTTTCTCACATGAGTTACAGAGCAACGAGCTACGGAACTCAAGGTCTCTGCTTCCCTGCAGGGGAGCGGGGTGGCGCTGGTCTGCTCGAGGTGTTCCTGGACTGAGGCTGAGTGTGCTCCTCAGGGGCTGGAGGAGCTGTGACAGCAGCGGCTCTTCTAAAATGGTGGTTTCTGAAACCTTCCTTTAATAACATCACTTTATTAACCCTTTACAATTTCTTGCGTGAGGAATTTGTCTTTTCGCATACCCCAGCTTGCTCTCCATGAGACACACAGACAGGGAGAGAGAAGCTGGGGGTCAGAGCGCAGGGTCAGCTATTGTACAGCACCCCTGGAGCAGCTGGGGTGAAGGGCCTTGCTCAGGGGCCCAACGGAGTAGGATTCCAACCAACACAGACCTCTCTCCTCTCCTTGTCTGCCTCCTTTCCTTTCCACCCTATTTAACTCTCCCTGCCTCTTCTATCTCAGACACCCCCCCCCACCGCCATCCCTGGTGCTGCCACTAGGGCGGCGCCACTCACACCCAACGTGATGCCAGAAGTTCCTTGTTCCAAGATGTGGGCTTAACAAATAATGTTGGCGGAGGCGTCAAATCCCAAAACGTGTTGAGGGCAGGGCTCCTCTTGGATCAATAACAGAGTGACGGTGGCGAGGATTCTCTTCCGAGTTCCGATGCGATCCAAGAGAAAGGGAATAGATAACAAGGGTTAACTCACGAGCAACAAGCCGGCCGTTAACCCCGAGTCTCACTAGAAGATGCAGCACCTCCTCAAAACCGTGCCGTTCAGCGTAACTCTTCCACGGAGTGTTAGGGGAGCTAATTTTCTGAGCTGCGTGTCCTGCTATAAATCACGCTGCTCTGATAGAAAAGATGCATGTTGAAAAGGCAGGGGTTGCGAGCTTGTTTGCTTTTCGATTAAGCCTGGCTAATGCGGGCTGGCAGTATTTTCTTTGTGACCGGAGAGGGGGTCAATATTGAAACCGCCCTCTCCCGCAACCAGGGAGACGGCACCGAGCCGGGATTCAGACAGAGAGAAGGTGGGGGGGAGGAGGTGATGGAGTGATCGGCCGTGCAATTAACTGCCTGAGCTGCTCATCAATTTAAATGTAATTCCGGGCAGGTTTTCAGCCATGCATAAAACTAACTTTTTTTTTTATTTAACAGTAAAAAAAAAAAAATGGACCTGTACATCAATTTCCATCATAAAAAGGAAATAGAATTTACATTCTAAAGTCCCATTAATAATAATAATGCCCTTGAATATCTGCAGATTTACTTTGACACGCTCATAAATACTCCTCCCTTGCTTTTAAATGATTTAGAGCTGTGGGTGTCGGCCTGACTCCGAAAGCGTCCTGGATTCTTGGAGATCTCCACACGCAGGGCCCTGCCTCGTGGGCGAACACAGCCCTGAGAGGGGTCCTGATGATGTGGGGGCATTTTCCAGCCTGGTATACCTTTCAGTTCAGGGGGTGTATCATAGGCTGTTGGGGTGCTTGTGCAGAAGGAGGAGTGTGATTTCCTGGCTAGGTTTGTGCACCGTAGGTGAAGGCAGTACAATACCGATCAGCCATGAAGGAAGCAGATCAAGCCTGAGAGGCTCTTGGAAAACCTGACAGAGCAACGTGCCTGTGGTGCCAATCCCAGGCAGACTGCCCAGGAGCCAGACACCTTCGCCATGTTAGCCCTCGGTAACGTGCAGTGGCACGGCCTCTCTTCTGAAACACCGGTATGTTAGCTCCTGGCCCTTCTGTTTCTGCCCGTGAGGAGAGACTGTGAAATCCTAACACATGTTTAAAAAGAGACAAACTTGCTGACGGGGTGGATTTCTTTCTTAAATGAATAATAAAGGCTAAAATGAGGGGGGAAAAAAGACAGGAATAAAAAGGCATTTGCATCTGCATGGCTTGAAAAGCAGGAGCCGGGAATGCATGTGTCTCCTGGAGGTTGTGAAAGGACGAGTGGCCATATGTGGATGGCAGATACACCCTGCCCTCTCTCTGGCTCCAGGCTCACCCAGAGGTGTGCCGACATTTTCTGAATAACACCTTTTCGTGGGTGAGAGAAGCACGGATTACCGATGGAAATTTGGCTCTTTTAGTATTTGTCCAAAAGTAAGGAAACCCATTTCTGCCAGCAGCCGTGTCGCCCTGCGGCTCCCAGCTGGCAGCCCCACTGGAGCTCAGCAGGTGTGAGCCTGGTCAGCACCTGGATGGGAGACCTCCTGGGAAAAACTAAGGCTGCTGCTGGAAGAGGTGTTAGTGGGGCCAGCAGGGGGCGCTCACCCAGCAGTCTGTGTGGGTCCTAATGCCCCAGTACTGTGACGGGGACACTGTGATGTGACCTAAAACCGAGGTCGTGACTCACTGTGGTCATTAACAATCCCAGAGTGTTTCTCGAAAAGAGTAGGGGTGTAACCCCGGTGTCCTGGCCAAATTCCCCCCTGGCCTTTACCAGTCATGGCCTCCTAATAATCGCCATCTCTGAACTGGCTTCATCACTCTGCTCTCCTCCCCACTGAGAGCTGGTGTGTGGGGAGAGGACTGGTGCATCATCCAGGTGGGGCTGCACACTGGTGGTGGTGGAGGGGATCCCCATTACCTGTAAAGCGCTTTGACTGGAGTGTCCAGAAAAGCGCTAGATAATTGTAAGCAATTATTATTATTACTCAGCCTCTTCCCTCAGTACTGGAGCCCGAGATGTTCAGCCCAGCCACTCAACCCACAGTGGGTTAGCAGCCATATGGCTACCTCAGATCCTCGTTCCGGGCCGGGCCTGGGCAGGGGCACAAAGCGGGGCTGTGTCGGGGGCGCTGCCCTTGCCGCGGGTGTTGCGCGGGCGGGCGAAGCGGGAAACGACACCGAAAGGAAGAGAAGACGTTCCACCCGCGGAATTCCACCAGGCGCGCGGAAAAGGGATTAAACCTCGGGTCGGCAAAGGAGAGGCTGTGAATAATGCGGAACATGCAGCTTTGTGGAAACTCTGCCTGCGACGCCCACGCCTGTTGTTCTGGAGATATTTTGACAAATTGGATCAGCCGGTGATTGTTTCTGAGGTTGGGTTGTCATTGATTTCTGCAGGAGGAAACAGTCTTTATACACCTGCATCCCAGGCAGGCTGCCGAGGCACTGAGCTGCACAATCACAGCCACCCTGAAACCCCCCTCCGAGAGCCAGGAGGGATCCTGGAGAGGGAAAGACCGAACACAGCCCACCACCTTTAGCATAAGAAGATATAGGTTTTTTAATATCATTTATAAACATTTTTTTTTTTTGTACGTTGGTTCTTCTTTGTTAACGACATACGGTACAGATCGGTCATGGGGGAGAAGGAGCAGGGGGCTGGGGACAGGAGAGAGCGGTGCGGGACAGTGTGAAGAAGTTACAAAACAAGGAAAATAAAAACTCCCCCCTTTTGAAAGGACAACCCTGTTATCGGTAATATTCTTGTTATCGGTATAGTTATTATCATAGTCAGTACTGTTATAATTATTACGGATGTTAATAATGTTCTAGTCACTTTAGTACAAACACAGTCAGGAAATGCAGGATGCCGAACTGCTCTGTTTCCTGTGTTTTGCCCACTAGTTCGTCCGGCTGCGTCCTCCGGTTCGGACAGATGTCCCTGGGAGGGGGGATGAGTTCCAGCGTAGATTGTCTTGCCCTGGGCTCCCTCGGCGTGTTTTCGAAGAGCGCTGGACTGTTCCTGGGTCTCTGTCCCTGCGGCTCTGTGGTGGCAGTCCAGATCTGCCCGTTTCCCTTGTTCAGCTGCATTCTGGGAGTAGCGACTCGTCAGTAGTACAGATCAAAGCCTTTTCATTTATTTATTTTTGCCCCTGCCCCAGTGTTTTGAGCAGGAGGCTGCTGATATGTGTCTCTGTTGTGTTTTCCAGCAGTGTGAGAGCGGGGTTCTTGCTCTTTGTTGGTGAGAAACAGACAGGGGGCGCGCGATGTCCCCTGGCAGCAGGGGCGAGAGGGGGTCAGAGGTCACCATTCCCCATCCTCCCCCCATCCCCCACCAGGTCCCAGTTCTGGGTTAAGAAAACAAAGGTTAAAAAAAAAACTCGACAGCAAAACGTAGTAAAAACTCATCTGTGAGAAGCTGTGCACGGCTTTCTCCGTGGAGAGTTTGTTTGACGCCGAGCGGTGGAGGTATTAAGACGTTCCCTGTGGTGTGGCAGCTGAATTGGCTTCGGTGGAAACGAAGCAGGTTTTCATTAACGCGAACGTGACAAAACCGACATGAAACACTCAGAGCACCGTCCTGTGACGAGCTCCGGCGATAACAGCCAAGCCATCAGAGGGACAGGCAGGCGGGGTTTCCTTTGTGCCTTCCCTGGTTGTGCCGCCTGCCGTGTGGTGAGGTACCGACTGGCCCCGTCAAAAGTCTGTGCTGGTCCAGGACATGGCTGCACGGGTCCGGGGCTGGCGGTACATCGTAGTCCGACCGCCTGCGGACGTATCGGAGCGAGTAATTCAGTTCCACACTCAAGGAGAGACGGGAGCAGGTACCCCCCTCCTCTTTGCTGGGTAGAAAAAAACGAAAAGGAGAGAGAGGAAAAAGGGGACTTTTCTGAGTTCACCGTCTCTGGTCTGCCCCCCCCCCCGCCGCAGGCCGGCGCCTTGTTTTCCCCAGCTCTCACAGCTGCTGAAGTTTGGTCCTCGGTGCTGAGAGAAAATCGACGGAATTCCAAAGCCAGAACAAAAATTCGAACAAAAATCGAGTGGCAGTGCGAGAGCCTTCTGGGTCTGTGTCTTTCCCTTGTCCACCTCTGTTCCTTACGTTTGATTAGTCTTTTAATTGAATGCTTGGAGACAGTAAGCCCCCCGCGCACACGCACACATGCACGCACACTCGCGCACACACACTCACACAAACACACACACATTTGCCAGTGCAGGGGCTGGTGTCAGTCTGAAGGACAGCGATTTGGCAGAGCGCCCCCTGCTGGTTCACCGCAGTATAATTGCAGTCAGTGGCGCTAGCAGGGACAGGGCTCGGCTCAGGTGGCCTCCCAGCAGGGAGTGTGCCCGGTTGGTGGCTTGCTTGACCCCGCTGGGGGGGCGCACAGGGGTCCTGGGGGTGCACTTGGACTTCCTGCGGGGGGCTCCACCCGTGTGGTCGTATTTGCCGTCTCCCGGGAACTCGGGGGCCGAGTATTCCTTGTCGGCCATCTCCTCCAGGACGTGCACCTCGTTAAGGCCCTTCTTGGGGCCCCGGGGGCGGTGGCGGGTGCAGTTCCGGGCGCGGCCCGGCC